GAGGAGTTACGTGGTTTTCTTGTGTTAACAACGAAATACGAGATAAAAATTATTCAAACATGGATGAACTTTTTGCCGCTTTAGAGCAAAAGTGGAGATAGATTTATGAATCTTATATCAAGAAACTTCTACAATCTATGCCGAGATGATGCCAGGCGGTGATTGATAATAATGGTTATGCTACAAAATATTAACAGAAACATGGTTGGTTTTCTGTAATTCAATTGATTCTTTTTTCTATAATTGTTTTGCTTTGTCTATATATGTTTGTCCTTCATAGTTCCAGTTTTTTCAATTAATTTTTTATTGAAGGGAGACTTATTTATGTATAAGTGAGTATTATGCCATAACGAATTATGTATAAAGGTTGGTGTATTAATAAAACAAGTTGAAAAAGGAATACAGCACACTATTAATTTGTCTATATACTTTTGTCCATTAATGTACATTTCAATAACGACTAAATGCCTTCAAAACAAATCAAATAAGATGCGTCTCACCTTTGAGACACCCATTTCATGAAACTGCTTGTAACAGATAAAAAATCTAGAAAATAACGAACTACCAATACTGAGTTTCGTCAGTCATACAAAGGCTGGTTTCACTAAAATGCTTTCCAACAATTCTAGTTGCACATTTAAGTAGTAATTTCGAATTGAAAGTATAACTTAAGATTTGAAGGGTTTCCACATCTGATAAAGGAAAAATAAAGGCAAGGAGATTGGCATTTAGTAATATTCTGGATAAATTCGCTTATGTGTGTTATGTTGCCCATCGCTGATCAACTTTTCTGAATTCGTAGATACCACCACAAGCGCATTTCTATCGTCATGAGAATATTTTTCCTCAAACTTGTTTATAGTAACAGTTTCATGTCACATGAAGTGACTTAGACGTGTTGCAGTCAACGCGAAAGGCCAACGTGATTATGTATAGAAAAAGACGGCCGATATGCCGATAAGACCGATATATCGGTATTTGAAATATAGGTATTGGCCGATTATCGGTACCGGGAAAAATCCTATATCCGTCGATCTTTATTCTTTCTTCATTACTTAATACGATTCCGGTATATTTTTCCAAAAATTAACTACATTTATATACCTGACAGTGGACCTCATAGCATGATGCACAGTCGCAGCAGTTGGCAACTGTCCACACCTGCAATGACAGCAACATGCTGCTTGTTCTTCACCCCCCTCCACGAACGGAGGCTGTCTCTGCACCTCGCCCAGAGCCTGCCCTAAAGCCCCACGCCAAAGCCTTTCCAGAATCAAACTTCTTTCTTGCAACGAATAATCTTCAGCAGTCTGTTGTACTCTGTTCTGCACCACCACGCTGTTGAACCTGGACCGGTTTTGACCGCCACCACGGTTTCGTCTGCCCCTGCCTCGTTCGATTGTTGGGGGGCCGATCGAGGGGTCCAGGCGTTTTTGGCGTTGCTCTTCGTAGCTTTGGAAGAAACGGCTTTTTGGGAAGGCGGTGTCCGTGTTTTTGCCGTAGTACATTGTTCAAAACCAACGAATTCAGGAACAAAAACAATAAACTTTTGGTAAGGGCTATCAAGTCGCCGAACGTGCAACCATAATTTTTATACAAACTTCTTGTATATAAATATTCTATTTATTATAGCGGAAGACGTTCTCTAATCTTCTATGAAATGCTTAGATTTTTCTCTATAAAAATATTCTTAATGCCTTAAACTAGTGGAAGACTTTGGATCCCAAATATCAGAGATGTGCAACAAAGTAGCTCGCGACCCAAACAGGCATTTTGGCAATCATAGCATTCTCATCAGTTTTATTCTTTGTTCGATTCAAACACCGGACTCGGTATATGGTCAAACTTATCGATCTTTGATTCTCAGTAGATCAAAATAGTTCTAAAATCTTGCCATGGGAGCTTAACATTGCAAAAGCACATCGTATCTCTTGTTTCTGGTACCTGTATAGAAGACTATAGTTAAAATGGAAGACTGTTTCAGCAGCTGCAGTAGAATATTTTATCTTAGATTCTTGACCTGCGAGATCATAACAAGTTGTAAATATTAACGATTCACAGTAAGCATTCTGAGATCTTCAATCCACGTTGCGTGCACTTCAATTCAATATTCTTCATAGAATATCATTGAAGGAGTATCTGGATGATAATTTATTCCGGATTTTTGGAAATGGAATAACCCCTTGTGTGTAAATGTTCAACAATCATAGCATCTTCTCTATCGAGTGATGTTATCCAATTTGAGCATAAACTGTCAAGTATTTTCTCTAAATCCTTTAAGGCTTATCTACCTCAGTGACTTCTTTCCTCAATCGTAAATCCTCTAAATATATATCTAACATAAATCCTTAATCCTAGTAGTAGCACTGCATGGAAGACTCGTTATAAAAATGGAAGACGTTGGATTTTTCTGGATTGCACTTGGTGTGTCACATCTTGATCCTGATTATGTTTCGGGATAGGTGGACGCGACGCGCGAACGGAAGGTCCTTCAAGGACTCATTGTCGTACACAACTGACGGAATTCGGCGTGGGGGAATGCGAAGGGAACAGACGGGATAGCAGTGAGGGAGATAGGGGGAGTGTACGGGTTTTTGTTTATTTTTCCAACACATCATCGCGTTTCAGATGATCGCATTTATAAAACGACAGCACTTTAGCGCGCATATAAATATGGCTTCTTCTAAAAGCACATTGATGAAGAAGTGGATTAGAGTGCCCATTGAAATAAATATATACGCAACGCTGTGTATTGCTTGCAGGATTCCTTATTTTCCGGAAATACTTTAAATTTTACTGTACAGTTTTTATCGTCTCGTTTAAGCTGGATGTAATCTATAACATCATCACTGTACGATTCCTTTGCAGATGTGTGAAAAGAAATACAATATTAGATAAAATTATTCAAAGGTTATAAGTTATAACGCATGAGCTACGTTTTGAATAGCTTAACTGAAAATGAAGATTATGTATTACTTTTTCTTTCTCTTTATGACTATCATTATATCACATGCACGGTAATTACATAGAAGTCTTAATGTTCCTCAGCTCAGTAGAGGATAAATATGTGTAGATGTAAATCATTACCAACCAGCAATGTGTCAATTTTCGACAAATTTGTGATTTCTTCTTTTACGAATCCACGGCCTATGATTGTTATTTTTTTTCAATAAAACGATCACATTACGTTGATTAGGAGTCTTTTTAGAGATGTCTAAGAAAGACAACATTAGTCCACGACGGATGACGTTTCTTTGTTTACAATTTGTATGACGCCACATCATGGCCGATGGTTTTTTTTACCGTTTCGTATTAAAAATTATGAACATATCTATTTAAATTGGCCTCATATTTTCATTCTGAGTTTTTAAAAATTGAAAACGTGTCGATAAAATCAATGTAGGAAGATGACGAAAATGTTTGTTTGTTGAAGATTTATCTAGCATTAATGATACAATGTCAATTTCGTATAATTACTCGTTTATACACTGTTTAATATCATTGTTCAATTTATTAAATTCAAATACTCATTACTAATTACTAGTTATGCTGCTATAAGAATTTTGCAGATGAAAATCTATTCTGCCTCTAGTTTCGATAACGACTATTTAATTTTATGAAGTTTTCTAAATGTAATAAATAATATTTTGATTTGAATATTAAAATGAGAACTATATAAGAAATATTTACATTCAACCACTGCAGTTCTTTTAACAAAGACTTGATCTTGGCACATTTGTCTTATTTAAAATGATTCTCGAAGCTTTATTTTATAGAATTTGTATGAAATAGTTGGCAATATAAAAAAATGGGGAAGAATTATGTTATTCAAAATTATATTTTAGCTCACCCACCATCAAAATGTTCGCAGCGCGCCACTGGTAAAGTGGTGGCGGACGCGCAGCATCCGCCATTCTACCGGCAGATTTTCAAGGAAATCAATAAACATCACATAGGGGGAAAAGGGGTGGAGGAAAAATAGACGCCGTGATTGGGATGATACGCGTACTTTTATACAAAAAGTCAAGTGGATTGATTCGTGCTTGCGCTCTAGGGGTGGACCAAATACCGGTACATATCTTGTTAACCCTTATTACAGACACAGGGAGATGAATAAATCATAAAAATAGTATAATTTGTGCAAACCAAGATGACAGAAGAAAAACTGAAGATCGCCTTATAGCGGAAATATAAAAAAATTGTGTTTCCAATATTCAATTCTGCAATTTCTGGTTGCAAACATCATAAATAATTAGCAATAAATGGCGTTAAGTAGGTTGACTCTGAACTTCCTACAGAAAGCCGTTATCGGTTCATAAAGGATTATGTTCAGCATAAATTAGACCCTCTTAGGAAAAAGTCAGTCAAACAGGTTCATACAATAAGTCCATACACATTATTTCCCAGTCCTACCGGTAAAGCATCTGGAAACGTCGCCTCTCCTCGATCAGATGCGGCAGCGCGGTCAGAGCTTAGGAAACACTATGCTGTGACGCGGCAGAAATACGTGTGATACCAGAACAACCTATGTGTGTAAAATAGGTCTAATAGCTGCGTAGAATTACCATGGTTGGGAGCGTATAAATGTACTATCTTCAAAATATTGAGATAAACTCTCCCCACCGGTCACCCACACCCTCAAGTTTTTTTACCTCTAAAGTTTTTTAAAAATGATCAGGACTCTCTGAAATGTCAAATAACGAAGTTGCAGTGTTGTTTACTTTTTTCGTTTTAGGCCATTTTACCGATTTTCAAAAAGTACCAAGCTTTTGCGTCCTTGGCATAGTAGTAAAATTGTGTAATTGAAAGGCACTTCTCACGTTGTAAGATTAGCAGACATACTAACACACGGACTTTTCCATTAAGTAGACATTGCACACCTCAAGTAGAAAGCCTCAATACTCAGTACCAGAGAAAAGTCTTGTTACTTTTATTCTTATGCTTTTATACATATTATGAACTTAAAAGTATGCTGGAAGTTCTATCGTTTTCTAAGCTACAGCATGCATAATATTTCAATTTTCAAACAATTAGTAGTTTTACAAAAATACATCACGAACAAAATATGTAACTTAGTAACTAACAATACAATACTGATTTTCTCTCAAACTCAACAAACAAATCATGCAAAAAAAGAACCCATATTCTTTGTCTCACAACAACCAATAAGGAATCTTACCATGGCCTCCCCCACTGATCAACAGGTTTATCCAATTTGGCTCCTTCACCCATCAACATATTTCTGTAGTTGTTGACTTTGTTAGCAATTGCCTCTTCAGTGAATCTGTAAACAAATAATATATTTGTACTAGCAAGTAGAGGGGTAGTATAATTGTAAAAAATATATATTTCAGGATAATGTAGTCCGAGTTTTATACAGGGTGGCCAATATATAACTGACTGATTTAAATTGCGCGCCATTTTGGATACACGCATTTCAATCTACCAGACATCGTTGTAAAGAACTGGGTATTCGCTGCACGTGATTATGCACTATTTTAAAAAAAGACTTGCATTTGCGGCCATACAAAATTCAGTTAACCCAAGAACTAGTGACCGAGAAAGTCGCCGACAATACAGTCATGCAATATTGAAGCTTAATACCCAAAATAACGATTTTTACCGTGTATCATCACTTCATAGCCCACTTCGATATGAATGGATTTGGTCATGTCAACTGGTCACCAAAGTCACCAGATTTAATGACACCTGACTTTTTATATGGATTTTTTAAAATATACCTACCAAAAAGTGATGGAAACTGTCATCAAGAAGGCTCAGGTTTGCACGGCTTCTAGAGGCAGACATTTGTCTGATATTATTTATTTTATTTCGTTTCACAAGTATTCAAAGTACAAATCAGTCAGTTACATATCGGCCATCCTGTATCATGTTGACTCTGTCCTATCTCATGTTTCTGCATCCAGCTTGTCAAATGAAACCACATATCGCTGTTTAACACCACATAACTCAAAAAATGGCACCTTTAAGATATGCATGTCATTTGATAGAAAATTCAAAGACCCACCATTTTTTCTCCCCTGAAAAGTTGTTAGTTTTGAGTTATGTGGCGTCAGAACTTATTTATGCTACTCACTTTTGCTGACATTCAAGTTTTTTATTATAACTAGACTTACCCCTGCTCCTCAAGTATCTCCTGAAACTCAGCACACTTCAGCTCAATCTTCCTCTTCCTCTCGTGGTCTAAGATCTCTTTGTTAGGTTGCCTTGCAGTTGCTGCAGCAGCATCCATAGCTGACAGTTCCGCTTCTGACTTGTAAGCCTTGCTTTGGTCCTTAGGCCTAACCAAGGCCCAATTCCTCTGGACATGGCCATTGGTACCACTGCCTCGTGGAGTTTGAAGTCCTATGCCGTTATACATTGTGAAAAGTCTGGAAATAAATGTTAGTAGTTCAATTTTGTGCAAGTGAATAGTGTACAAGTGATCATCTGACAAAACAATTATATTTGAGCACAAGGTGTCACTTTGGTGAAACACAAAAGTAACACAACAGAAGCTGCTTTGGTAATATCAGTACCACAGAAAAGGGTTTTTGAATACTACTTTTCTGAGTTACACTATAAATTGCAAAAAACTACATAAATACAATATAATTTGCTCTTAATGTCCAAGTTGATAGCTTTATTGCATTTTATCACAAGTAATTAGTATTAGTATTGTGACAAATTCTATTACTAATGTTGTACTCAACTCCAAGCCTACTATGTATATAAATGATGATATTCGTCGGTTTTTCAAATAATCTAATGAAAATATAAGATATCCAGCATGTAGCTTTTGATCTGATGAATGCAGAATTCAATTTTCAGCAAGCTAAAGTAGCATCTTACATTATCAGAGTAAGGAAACGTTCAATTGTAACACTCCGTAATGAGAAATGTACGTGTTTTATCGCATTTTCAGCTGTTTGGCTCCTTCATCAAGCCGGACAAGTTAATATCGATTTTTTTACCTTCTTAGCAGCTACAATCGTACAAATGAGACACCGTAGTCAGCCGTGGTTGAAACGCTACACAATATTGTTTAATATCTGCATTTCCTTGAGCACTAGCGATCAAGTACTAACGCTTTTTCTGTAAAATTGTAACAATTTTCCTCCAGTACTATATCAAAAAATCACTAATTTCACAAATATGTCAAAATATGAGCATTTTCTGTCAATTTGATGAATGTCTTGTGTCACTTGTCTTGTCATTGCAGTGCCATCTACAGTATAATAGCATTTTCATCTTAGTGCCATCTAGTTGGTTGAAAATGAATCAAGCACAGAATACTTCTAAGAAGAAAAGCAACTTTCGGTATTAGTTGAAACCTTTATTCATAGAGAGCGCTGCAGACAAATCAGGACCGTATTGAATTAATTTTTGAACGGAAATTGTAGTGGATTTAATAAATGACAAGAATTAATAAGTTTAACAGTGCTAGTTGGAATTCAGAAATAAACTAACAGACAGGCAGGGTGGATTTTTTGTTGTTTATATATTGATGAATGATATCTATTGACATATTGTTTTGGCTACTTGAATTTATATAAATTTTGTGCGTGAAAAGATCAAACACAATGTCTATTATCTGCTTTATTCATATAGATAGGTGTCTATATATACAACTTTTAAAATGGACCTTATTCAGCATTCATACTATTCTTCGAACAACTCAAAAACACGCGCAAGTGTGTACATACAATATAATTGAGCTTTGTAAAATTCCCCATTTATTCTAAACAACTTAAGCACTGCCTCAACTTTTCGACGGGTCACTGATCGTCCCCCAAAATATGGTAGCTGAAGTAGCTTCGTGTCTAATGAAAAAGCAAAAAGGCCTGTTCAATACCACAACCTTCTGTCCTCCAATGTAATCAGTAACGCCCGCTGTAACAGCAGCAGCTTCTGTTCCTTTCTCGTTGATCGAAAACACCATTTGTTGAACAATATTCGAAACTCTTAGCTTTGATTCATCTGCAGCTCCTGTCAGGATGATATCCTTGTACGAACGTGGGACCGTGAAGTTCTTTGCTTTATTCAACTCGTTTTGAATCTCTTTTATGATTTCTGCTCCATCGTCAAGTCTCGGGGAGTTAAATCTGAAAGATATCCTAGCTTTTGTCGCTTTTGCTTGCTGCTCCTTTTTGAACTGGGCGTACTCTTGGAGAGGCTCTAATATGCTTAAAGTATTTGATAAAGACAACTTCGGTATCTTCACTATAACATCGTGGCCTCTCAAACCTAGAAGTGCTTGATAGAGCAACTCTGGCCGTAGTTTCTGTACAAATTTCTTCATGTTGTACTTGTGCTCATGGTTTTGGGTAGGGTATAAAATGTACATACCCAGCTCCTTATCCTTATAGGGTAAAGAAAGTAAGCGGAAATCGTTCATTTCAACGAAAGGGATTTGCTCCAGGGTTCCTAACATATACGTTGTGTCTACGGTCCTGTTTTCGCTAACATAGAATTTATCTACTCGATTGAACTGATCTGAGAACGGTTGATCCCATTCGGCTTTGAAGTAGATGGAGTTGAGCAAGATTGAGGTAGTTGAGGGAGGTGGGGATGTTGACAAAATGTTGTTGATGATCCCATTGGTGTGACTCGATGCCCAATGGTTGATAATACTGAAACAACAATGAACAATTATAGTTATGGTCGGGTACCGAAATGAAAGAGAGAGAGAGATGGATGACACAGTGTACACCAGTGCAAACGCGGCATCTCTTTAAATACAGCGAGCACCGGTTTTTCCGATACAAAGGCAAGCCGCAATAGCAGTGGCATATGATGCCCTTTTGAGTTTTTGAAGAAGGCATCGCAGAAGTTCAAAAATATGCTTTGGACAGCGGTCTTAATGTTGTATGTTATTTTTATTACGTTTTATTACAGATTTATAATGATGTGACAAAAGACTACCCACCTTTTTGTATCCTGTCTAAAATCCAAAGACTTAATTTCCGTCTCGTAGAATTTCTCCATATACCGTTGAAACTGGTCTTTCAAGTGTATGTCCACACTGTAGAACAACGCATTGTCTTGGTCCAATATAAAGAGTTCATCTCCTCTTCTTTTTTGTAACGCTTTGACCAACCCTAAAAAAATGCACTCTGAGATTGAGATAAAAAAAAAGTTTGACCAAAAAGTATTTTAGGAAGTATGACTAGAAATGACCAACGGTTATGGAAAACATCTTTGTGACGTATTCAGCGCCCGTAGCTTGTGTTCCTTATGTCTGGTCAAAACCTATATTTTTGTATCTCTTATTAGTCATGTTTAAATCGTAGGTAAGCAAGCACCATAGTTATGTGCGTAACGGCGGTTCTGTGCCCATTTACAATGGCTACATCTACCGCTGTAGGTCGATAGCATTGATGCTTGGTAAGTAACCTTCCATCCACCATTTATCGTCAATAATTTATACAGTTGCTTTACCATTTCTTACCTGAAAGTTGTAAATGGAACTCTGCATAACGTAGGGAGCTTGAGGTGTTACCTCCTTTACCATATTGGTAAATCATTTGTGGAACTACTTTAGGCTTAGGTAGTGATAGCAAGTCGTAAAGTTGGTCTTGAAATTCGCTGAAAACAAAATTGAGCAGAGTGAATAAGTCAGAAGCTATAATAATTGATATATGACCAGGTTTTGGTGAACAATTCGGCGAAGACTCGTATAATTTGAAGAAATATGTGTATATTTCGAGTGTTTTCGATATGTTTTACTTCCCACGCCAACTGTAATCTGATGTCGCGCCCAATTTTGACGTCAATGTATGCCGTCATAGTATATGTCGCATAAAAGACCAAATACAAAGTCGATATGACGTCTGCATGACGTAGATATGACGTCTATTTGAAGTCGATATGACGTCTATATGACGAACAGTCGCTCGCTTCGCGTGATGTATTCAAATACTCCTGAAAAATTGAGGATGTGACAACGACGACCCACAAGCAGTGAGTTCAGGGGGTAGCAAAAATGCGCCGAAACTCATTTTGTACTTACCAACCACTCTTCAAGCCTCTCGTTCCGAGACGTTTATCACCTCCGCAATTTTTCAGGAGCATTTCTACAAAGTGTATCGAAATGGTTAATAAAGAACTAAAAAACAGTCCTCCAAAGGTTCAGAATTTGTTTATAGCAATTTATCAAGATCACTTTGCTTTTTCACAGGAGGCCAAAACACTTCTTATTTCTTGGATGTCGCCACGCCTTATTGACTATGTGGCAATACTTTCGTCACTATTAAATTATACCACAATGTATGTTAAAGATGACGAAGCCATCGTGAAGTCAGTAAAACATATATATTTATAAAGTAAAATGGCCAAACCATTGCCAAACAGCAAACACGCACGGAGCTTGGACATCGGTCGAGCTCGCCGCCAAGCAGAATCGTGCTTCTTCCCTGATTAATATACCGTTCCTAAATCTGAGAGTTTCCAATAAATTTGTTGTTTACGGGAATAACACATGATATAAAATGGCAATTTCTCAATATCTGAACATGCAATATTATTATTAGAAAAGTGACATTAACAAGATATTTTTGGACGAAGAATTCCTAATATTTTTTTATAAATATACTAAGTGACATATAAATCCGAACACCCAGTTTAAATGGTTTTATTTTAATAAAATTTTGTATAAGTACTTAATGAAGCATAATAAGTAAATGATAAAAATTTCAAAATGATTGTACTGCTTTAAAGCCCTTTGACCTTTAATAGTGTGTGGATGCACCCTGATGTGCTACGTATTCTCCAACGCGCCTAGGCATGCTTCTGATCAGGTGGTCAATGTCCTCCTGTGGTATCTCATTCCAGGCAACCACCAACTTCTCTCGAAGTGCTTCTAGAGTCTGAGGAGGACGTTGCAAATTGAGCAATCTCCTACCCATCATATCCCACACGTGCTCAATAGGGGATAAGTCGGGAGATCTTGGTGGCCATGGTAACAATGTGACATCATTATGTTGAAAGAAGTCTATTGTGACTCTTGCAACATGTGGTCGGGCATTATCTTGTTGGAAAGTTGGATCTGCCAGGGTGTCAAGATAGGGTAAAAGATGGGGTTCTAGAACTTAGTGGATATAACGCTGCGCGTTCATGTTACCTCTGATGAAGATTAAAGGTGACCTGGAACCATAAGCTATAGCACCCCAAACCATAACTCCAACAGTGTGATGAACATGTCTTTCAACAAAAAACTGTGGATTCCTCCTTTCACCACGTCGCCTTCTAACCCTGGCACGACCATCGTGCATGCCTAAACAAAATGGAGACTCGTCACTAAAGACAATACTGTTCCATTCCTGATCCCAGAGTGGCCGTTGTCTGCACCAATCAAGGCGATTACGTCGGTGTAAGGGTTAGAAGGCGACGTGGTGAAAGGAGGAATCCACAGTCTTTTGTTGAAAGACATGTTCATCACACTGTTGGAGTTATGGTTTGGGGTGCTATAGCTTATGGTTCCAGGTCACCTTTAATCTTCATCAGAGGTAACATGAACGCGCAGCGTTATATCCACGAAGTTCTAGAACCACATCTTTTACCCTATCTTGACACCCTGGCAGATCCAACTTTCTAACAAGATAATGCCCGACCACATGTTGCAAGAGTCACAATAGACTTCTTTCAACATAATGATGTCACATTGTTACCATGGCCACCAAGATCTCCCGACTTATCTAAAATTGAGCACGTGTGGGATACGATGGGTAGGAGATTGCTCAATTTGCAACGTCCTCCTCAGACTCTAGAAGCACTTCGAGAGGAGTTGGTGGTTGCCTGGAATGAGATACCACAGGAGGACATTGACCACCTGATCAGAAGCATGCCTAGGCGCGTTGGAGAATGCGTAGCACATCAGGGTGCATCCACACATTATTAATGGTCAAAGGGCTTTAAAGCAGTGCAATCATTTTGAAATTTTTATCATTTACTTATTATGCTTCATTAAGTACTTATACAAAATTTTATTAAAATAAAACCATTTAAACTGGGTGTTCGGATTTATATGTCACTTAGTATATTAATAAAGTAGTTATTAGTATTTGGATATCTAGTTTACCTTACTGTACATTAAAAGTATATAGTTTCTTTGTAGGTAAGTGTTGATTTTTCAGTACTGACTGACCTGAAAAAGGCGTCAAAATTACAGCCTTTTGAAGTACCTCTTGTTGACGTTTCCGACCAAAGGTGACCGAATTTTGGCGTCATCAAGTTTATTGGGAAACAAAGTTCTACACGATACCGATCCCATTCAGTTTATGAAGTAATAAGATGTTGATTTTCTTCAAATCATTAGACTTCACAGTTTTCTGCGAGGACTTGTTGCCCGCTCTACACTGAGTAAACCTGCTTGACACTATTTTCTACTCACCCCTCGGCTCCTAACATCAATTGTCCTATAACCACTACCGTGCTGAGTGGTGATACAACAAAATTGGGACTATCGTGCTTATCCAACAGGACCTGAAGTCTGATCCCCATTCCAAATATGGCTTCCAGCGCCTGAGTGTATCTCTGGTACTGTTCTTTGTCTGGGTTCAGCCTTTGAATGAGGGGGTTACTTTGAGACAGGAGAGGGGAGATGTGAAGAAGGGTGATTAAGAGGAGAACTAGGGGGTGGCAGTCCATTTTGGTAGTGAAAGTCTGCAAAAAAGAAAAATGTGCGCTTGAGTAACTTCTTTCAAAGAAAAGTTCACGCAGTGACTAAACAATCAGCAATTCAAGCTACAATGTATGGTCTACGAATATTCAGCAGTTGGACGCCGCAAGTCTAGCAGAACGTTGCTGTTGAAATTTGCGGTTGATGCAGATATTGACAGGAGACCCGCATGGGTATTACCTATGTTGTAAAGTGAAATTATGTCGGGTTTGTTGACATTATATAGGCTTTTTGTGACATTTTTTTAACAAGATATCAACTTGACACTAACTTTTGTACACTTGATGTGTACTCGTTCTTCACCCGGGTTTTCTCTCTTTCTAACGTATAATTAAACTCAAGCCTTCAGACAAATTTGGGTTTCCCTGTATACTGAGGTTATATAGATTTGGTCGAAGCCACTATACTGTTTTCTATCAAAACTATCCAATCAATCCAATTGATTTGTGCGACTAGGAAAATTTATTAAGCCCAAGTTAGATATATGTTGAAAAACCCATCATAGAAATTGTACACCTATAAATCGAAATTCCAAGAACATTTGTTTTGCCAGATCAATCTTTCTCTAGAAAATAAATTTGTTGATTGGTAATGTAACATTCGAAACTTATCTTATGGTTTTCCTGTTGATAACACATCATGTTCCTCCTCCTTTTTCAGGTACAACTGACATTTTTTTTTTGGGCAGTTCTACATATCGCTAGATTATTATTATTAAAAAAGGATGGACGAATAAGTGTATGTAGGTACTTGGTTACGATACCCAAGTCATGGTTAGTAGTTTGAGTATTCGGAGATATTACGCTTTGCTCGAGACACCTCTACATATATCAAGCAGAAATATATTATACAATCGAATTCGCTAGAGTTTTTCTGCAGCTAAGAAGAAGGCATATCCTAACATACATATAGGAATTTGAAACGGTTATTTTAGTAGATGTGTCGTATTTTGATTAATTTGTGAGCCTACTTTTAGGTGGAAGTTCCAAAGCACCTATTTTGGGAATGTTTAAATGAACTTTGAAACAATGTTACCCCCCACGCCTACTAGCGGGAAAGTATTGATGATAAGATGTTATTTTTTTATCCTATAACCGCATGTAGCTTGAGAAGTACCGATCGTATTTCCATGAAATTTTTACACAATGTTACCACTATGCAAAGGACGTTAACGTTTTTCGAAGATCTGTCCAGCGGCTCCTGTGAGCGCATCGGCCGTGGCTCATACCTCTCAACATCCCTCCATACAAATTTTATTTATTAAAGTCATCAAGATCACGATAAAAATTAGTGACAACCAGCTAAAATGAACGACACCGCTCTTTATCAATTTATTACTTGATTGTCTCGTAATGAAGTAGGTCGTAATTTATAACCTTGTATAATACAAAATATTTTTAATTCATCATTTATTTTATTCTAATAACGGAGAACACACATAATTTTTACGCGCTACTAGACTTGACTTTTGACCTTGATAACGTCTAGTCTCCGCGAGACATCATGATACTGTGCGCATTAAACTGCACCTTCCACGTTTTTATTAACATTTAAAAGATCAATACCTCGATACGTTAATTTATTACAGTATATGTACTTACCTGATGGTAATTTAAACAATACTGACGGTCTCATCAATGACACAGAACACTAGATCATCACTACTTGGATGTTATTGGTTTAGCAACGAAATAAACAATAGATTACATACCCAGGACCGGTTGAACGGGTCTGTGAACTGAATATCTAAAGCTCGGAATCATTTGTTGTTCATAATATTCATTGATAGATTTTTTCCAAACATAAAATTTTATGCGTATAGGATGGAGATTGATTTCTGAAAACTGAATGCAACAATTCGTGGCGAGCAATACTAAACAACGCTAGCGGAATTCCCAAGTTCTCATCAGGCGGTCAAATACGTGGGTTAGCCAGATGTTAAACTGGATTTTATCAAACGTGCTTATTTATTTTTAATTGGTGAGTCAATTTTACGTCGTTATAGTGCAGTAGGATGGATGATCGGTTAACGAGGATTTGGCAAGACGAAGGGCTCTTTATTTGGTATTCACCTCATAACAGTCCTTTGGTATTAGCAGATCCTGTGGTTCACACAGTCTTATATAGTTTACAGGAAAATGGTGAGAGTGTGGTTGGATAAAAATGTACGTATGTTCAAATTTGGCTGACGTCGTAATGCGTACGAGAGAGAGAGAGAGTGAGAGAGAAGCGTGCAATATGTATGTTAGAAAGAGTGCGTCGATGGCAACGCGGCAAGCCACAGCTGCATCCGTTGCCTCGTCACTCGGATTCCTAGGCAACGAGGTGCCTCTATCTCTTTCTAACACACCTATTGCACGCTCCTCGCGCTTCTTTCTCGTACACATTACGACACCAGTGGTATATGAATTTCACTGTGGATCAATTCAAGACGCGGTCATAGCGAGATTAGGGTCAGGAAAAACAGAAATCGAATGCCATTGAAATTGATCAGCAGTAAAAATCACTCAACATCTTGGTTGGAATTCTCTCTTTACTGCAGATGCTGGAAGGAGTTCGAAATATGTTTCCATTCTTGGAAAGTATGCCCTATATCACAGGCTGCAGGATGTAGGTTGTTAGCTGAGTTCAATGTGTCTATTTATATTTGCCTTGTTGTACCCCTGAAACTGGGTGTTGTTGCTATTAAAACCGCAATACACCGGTAATATTTCGGGAAAAACAACAACAAAAGGTGGCTGATCAGAAGAACAGTTTCTTGTCTCATTATATATTTGCTTTGATGCTGATGGTGTACTCTGATGAAATCAAACTACTTTCCAGGTCTATCAATCTACTTACAAATCTTTAATTTTAATCTTTCAAATCATATGTACCTCATTGATACTTTATATTTGCAAGAATGAGTTTAATTTTGGAGTACCCTGATAGAATAAATAAAATTAAATATCGGCTTCGCGTATAAGTGTTAATTAAGTTATTTTCATGACATGTTATTCCTACTATCCATATTAATCAGTTTTGTATTTCAGGGACATAAGTATTTTATTTTATGCAAAATCGCCGGAAGGAAATACTTAACAATTTGCAGCAGTTGAATGTTTAAATAGTGTGTGAGAGTCCGAGTATCTGTTGCGGAGAAATGACATTCACAAATGTATTTTTGATTCTTCCAGAATTCTAATTCATGCCAAACCCAGATATAGTTCTCAATAATAATAAAACATAAAGATACAAGCTTGTTTATGTTGTCTCTATCGAGATTCTGCTGAACATAGATTTGTGTCATTAAAAATATGTGTTCAGAATGTCAGATATTTTGTCTGCAGTACCTATATGAGACCTTCAGCTTCAAGCAGTTATATCCAAATAGCAATCCTTGAAAATTTTTGACTGGGCAAATTTTTATTAAGAAATGTACCTCCCTACTTCCACCCTGGATTCATCCTAAAATTTGAGCGTTTTGGAGGTTTCACTTTTGATTGTCATCCCTTATTTATGATAGTTCAAAAACCACCATATAGATGTCGTGCTTCTCCCTTGCTTGCGACATCTATGCAAGAAGAATATAAGATTATTTTATTTGGGATAGATCGATTTCAATTATCAGAACAGTAAAAGTTTTTACTAACAGATGTCGCCAAAAATTTGTCTTTGGTGACACCTATCGTAGAATAGCTGAACTACATGATACCTGATACAATTTCCTTTATCTGATTACAGATTTCTGCTTGACAAACCAGCTGTTTTTGACATTCACTGATAAAAGCAAAATAATCTTCAAGGACGTTTCACTTTATCAAATTGAATCTGTATTCTAAAGAAAGATCCATTTTACTTTTAATAAAACACTTATTATGTATAATTTTCTCGTAAAAATCAGGATATTTACCGGGGAAATGTGTATTCGCCATAAAAAGAAGCAATGAAGTCGAAATCTGATTCAAAAGTGTGTCTTGTATGTGGTGATAAAGCCCTAGGGTACAATTTCAACGCTATCACTTGCGAAAGTTGCAAGGCTTTCTTCAGAAGAAACGCCTTGGTTGAGAAAGAGTTCAAGTGTCCCTTTAACAACAACTGTGATATCACTACAGTCACTAGAAGATTCTGCCAGAAATGTAGGCTCGATAAGTGCTTTACTGTGGGTATGTGCAAAGATTTGATCATGTCGGAGCAGGACAAAGTTGCAAAAAGGCAGAAGATACAGGAAAACAGAGCTAGGAAAAGAAATTATAGGGGTTTCAAAGGTAAGTAGTATTTGTACACCTACTGTCAACCAAATTTTTTTTTCATTTCCCAAAGTGAAAAATAAAGCTCCTTATGCTTGGACAGATTTAACATTTTGATAACTTTAAAACAAAACAAACCTTTAAAGAACCCACAATTGACTATGTATCATAAATGAAAGGTGTTACAAAAACGAAAAGATGGAAGTTTTGAAGCTAAACAATAACCAATTATTATAGGGGAATGGCTTGTACCATTTTAGCAATAATGTTGTTTCTAAGTATTTGAGTGCTTAATTTTTATCAAATTGAAGTTTTAGACACTACTTGTGGCAAAATGTATGTTTATACAACTAATATATCTAACACAGCATCTATATAAGTATCTTTTTACAGCAGGTTTCAAGAAAGTTAAAAAGGAACTGATGATAGAGCCTGATTCTCAAAGCACAGATTTTTCCAACCATTTCTATAGCAGCAATGATTCTAGTGATACAAACATTTCTGATCAAGGCTATACTCCGAACAACAGCGACCTATTAAACACAATGTACAGCAATAGCAGAGATCACTTGTTATCTGGAGAGAAGGTGGTGTCTTCCAGCGATGATATTTCCATGCTGAGAAATATTTTGAATCCAACAAATCCAAATCAAAAAGGCATGCATGAAGATACTAGTTGTTTGAATGCTGGTCTAGGGAATAATAATGATACAAGTTGCAATAACAATGTATTCAACATAGGGAGTTCAGGAGTGGTTCAGGATTCCAGACTGACCATTGACAGCATCACTAAAGATGTTGTGAATGATGTGCAGAGGTATGGAAATTGTGTTATTCTTTGATAAATCAACGAATACAATTTGTCAGCGATATACAGGGTTTGTCCGGAAAGTAATAGGACTCATTTTCTACAGCCCAGATGTGGCCCCCCTGGACTTTTTTTTGTTTCCTCGCCTGAAAAGGCCGATGAAAGGCAAGCATTTTAAGACGACAGAGGGGATCCAAGCAGCATGCACCGCGGTTCTCAAGGCTATTACGGAGAATGCCTTCAATGCTTGGAAATCACGCCGGCAGCGCTGCATCGACGCAAAAGGAGCCTATATTGAAAGTTTTTAAAGAATTGTAACGATTGGCTCAATATTTTTTTTTAAATCGACTCAGTCCTATTACTTTTACGGACAAACCCTGTACACCGATAAGACATACATGTATATCTTTTGTTTTTTCCAGGGTGCAATCATTAGAGCCTAGTCCAATAGAATCAATACTATGTGAGGCAATAAAATTGGAATTTGAGGCATTCTCGTCAATAGCTCAATATAACTCTACCTCTAGGGAATTAAATGATGCAGAAAGAGCCAAATTGAATGAATTGATTGTAGCTAATAAAGCTCTTTTAGTTCCAATTGACGATGAGCTGGATAGTTTGAACAGAACCAGGGGTAAGGATTTTAAGGATCAGAGATTGATATCCTTAAAGTTGACATATACATTAATGTGAAATATTTATGGGGCCAAATTTGGAGAAGAAATGATCAGCATCATTTCCTTTTTTAGTCCCATATTCTTCAATGCAAATGAAACTAGAGAGAAAATAATTTTATATTTATATTATCATTTTTTGTAGTATTGCAGAGCAAGCCTCAACAAAAGACTGAAGAAAGTACAACTATAGTTGACCTGATCAATTTGACAGCACTAGCTATAAGGCGATTGATAAAAATGGTGAAAAAAATAAATTCATTCAAAAATATGTGTCAAGAAGATCAGGTGGCCTTACTTAAAGGCGGTTGTACAGAAATTATGCTGTTAAGAAGCGCTATGAACTATGATCCTCAAAAACGGACCTGGGAGGTAATTTCAGGTTTTTTTCTATCTTTTTATAGCTATTTAGGTTCATCCTTTTAAACCAGATCACTTGGTGGGAACCTAATAATTTCAATATGGTATTAAAACTTGAAAAGAAATTTGGTTCTTTTGGGCAAAAATCGACATTTTCCAAGATTGGACTGGTTTGCAATATGGAGATTGATTGATAAAAAAAGCAGATATATTTTACTCAATTTTAGAATTCTTTCATTCCAATTTTTCTTGAAGTTGCATCTTATTTTTCGTATATTCACATAATTGATAACAAAAAATAGGTGAGTGACCGAGATTTGACAAATTTATCAACAAAGTTCAATTTATATTGTGTTAGCTGCATATCTCATACAAAATTAATTATTTGTATTACCTAATCAGTTCAAGATATACAATTCTGAGAGCTTATTCATATAGATAAAAATAATTCAAATGATATAAAGTGTACCTAATTTTCACTAATGGCGTGCCAAATGAAATTATTTTTTTTTTCATGTAACTGCCAAGCAAAAATTCGCACAATCATTTTATTATGAAATCTGTTATAACATATTTGGATATTAATAAGTAGCATACTTGATTCTAGATGATGTGAAAAACAAACACAAGCATGACTCATAATGCAGCAGGTGTTCAAAATATTGCTGTTTGATAACTTGGATCTTGATATGTTCAAGTTTCAGCAATCAAATCGTTCAAATTATTAATATTTTTGTGGTACATACGAAAACAAAATTGTTGAATAGTTAGTAAGTTGTTGAAAGAGACCATTCAAATTATATTTGACACACCCTTTCATCTCATTCAAGACCGTTTCTTCAGTGGTTTCTAAAATTTTAGGATGCCTATATGGCACCCTTGGTTTTCATAGTTATTTCTCTCTTTCAGAAAGGCCTGGAGTATTTATACATTTCTACAATTCGCTGTCAACGTCAGCGATCTCCTATTGTGAGGCTATGTTTTCTTTTTGAATTGTAAGAAATTTCAGCCTGATATAACGGATGATATAAAAAAGCATGAACTATTTGATGTAAATAGTTATTTGTAACATAACCTCAAAATAGAGCGCTGTCACTGAAGAGTAGAAAACAATGAAAATCAAGGAGGCTGTAAAGACTTACAAATTGTAGGAACGCCTTTATGGCTTCCTTGATTTTCATCGTTATTCCTGTCCTTCAGAAAGGCAGTGGTATTTCTAGATTTCTACTGTTCCGTGTCAGTGCTCTATTTTGAGGTTCATTCTAAGAATTTTTAGGCTGATAAATCTTGATTTTTCTTGTTTTATTAGCTTGAAATTTCTCAGGATTCGACAGCATAATCTCACAATAGGAGAGCGCTGATGCTGACACGGAATAGTAGATATCTAGAAATACACCAGCCTTTATGAAGGGGAGATAAAACTATGAAAATCAAGTAGGCCATAAAGGCGTCCTACTACTGTAGGAACGACTGACGATACGGCCCTTAAAAATTTAGGGGTTGAAATCATACACAGTATGGTATCAAATTCTGATATAAGATGTAATTTTTAAATCAGTATGTGACAAGTTTCCGATTTTTTCATGAATATACACAAAAATAAAAAAGCATTCGTCAAATTTAGCTTTACATACTGTGCACTAGCTGTATAATTTAAGTCGCACAAGAATCCAATGGTTATAATCTATTTGCACTGACTTATTTTATAATTTTTACTGAGATTTAAGCAAATAGTGTAGGAATCAAAATATCTCATAATTTCATTGTCTTTGCTATCATTATTTTTGCACTCAGACTTTCTATTTCGGCAGATACCACACACCCAAGAACTGAATGTGGATGTTGATATTTTGAAGTTGGCAAAAGGTAATATCTATCAAGAGCATGAAAAGTTTATCAAAACCTTTGATCCAAAATGGATAGCTGACGAAAATATCATTCTCATTTTGAGTGCTGTGGTGCTATTCACACCTGACAGGCCTAGGGTTGTGCATCAAGATGTTATAAAATTAGAACAGGTACCTATTTATTTACAATTTCTTATGCAATTTTATAAAAAAAACTTTACGCGCAATAGATGAAGAAATAACGTCTTTTTCAGAATTCATACTATTACCTTCTGAGAAGGTACTTGGAAAGTGTGTATCCAGGCTGTGAGGCAAAGTCTACATTCCTTAAACTCATCCAGAAAATTACGGAACTTCATAAAGTGAATGAGGAGCTAATAAATGTTTATTTGGATGTTAATCCATCACAAGTTGAACCTTTGCTTATTGAAATTTTCGATTTGAAAAGCAAGCAATGAGTTTAGATAATCTCTTTGCAGTAACAAGAATTTTTTTATCAAAGCCAAAGTTCCAGAAGATGCACCATTTTATATTTTGTCCTCCTACAGATATAAAGTGAGAAACATGAAAGATATATTTTCAATGGTTGTCACTTGTCAACAACACAATATTTTTGGTATTGAGAGTTTTTTTGCTTTTTCATGTAAGTTATATGCCCAACATACTTTATATTAAAATAAAATATTCTGTATTTATTACTTTAAAATGGTACAAAATTTAATTTTCCTTTCCATATATTGTTATGTATATGTATTTTAACAAATATATCCTTGTTTTTATATCTCGTTTTTCATTAAAAAGTCATCCCTCCAATAGACAATCATTTGTTTATGTTCCAATTTACAAAAATTTAGTAGGCTGTGATACATATTTTATAAAAATAATAGCAATGTTCAAGCAATGATTTTCAAATGGTTTGTAATCTTCAAATTCAATTGACCAAACGAATTATCAAACAAATGTCAAAATAATTTGGTCAACTGTTTCCAGCTGTTCATAACCGTCAAAAAATCATTGCCAGAATATGCCAAATAGCCTCATTTTAAACTATATATTTTGCACTATTCAAGCTGAGTGTCATTGAGTTTTCATAACTTTTTATCTTGTAGTTTTGTCGAAAGAGTAAATAATGTAAAGTAAATGCATCAATCATATATAAAATTTTAATAATAAATATAACAAAACAATCACTAATGAGGATACAAACAAAATTATTACATGTCTTTTGAAAAACATATATCACAAATTAAATTAGCCCGACTTTAGATTCATCATTAGACTACAAAGTGGGAACTTGTCTTTTGAATATCACTCTGCTTTATAGGGTAAATTGATTTACAATCTATAGTTCACATATATCTTGCTGAGAATATTCACTTTTTCATGGAAAAAGCAAATAGTGCAAATATACATTTTTGGATTTCATTCATACCTGTACAACATAGTTGAAATAAAAATAAGGATAAATATCCTCTAACCCTTTACAACTATAAAGGTAATTACAACTTAAGATTCACCATAGTGTGTGCCTTTAACATTTTTCCCAGCACTTGTTCCTAGTTTTCTTCTATTTCCAGCATTATCCTTTCTTCCCAAAATTGGGCTAGACGAGGTACCCATATTCCTAATAAGATTTTTCAAGCTTTTCGCCTGTGTATCACCTATATTGTTCTCCTGTGCAATTATGTAGAAATCATCTAGCAAATGTGGAGGAGGTTCAACCTGAACAGGTGTCACACTAGATTCAGATCCCCTGTCAATGAGAAGGGCAAGGCGATTTTTTAAAGATTCATTTCTTTGCTCGAGTTTGTTGATTTTGTTTGCTTCTTCCTCATAGTTTAACAGTGTAGGCAGAGGCATATACTGAAAGTTGAAATATTTCAATCAAAATGTGGAAAATATATGACCGTAATTATCTACCTGGAATATTGAGGCCAAGAAGTTGTGTAGTGATACCAAGAGAGTATCTTGCCATTGCTTGGTGAAATGCAGTGAAAATGTTGGGTTCTCTTCAGGATTTTTTATGTATGGTAGAACTGAAAAATGTTTTGTATTATACAGGGTGATTGACAAGTTGTGACCAAAAATGAAACATCATACACAGAAACGCATTTTAAGGCGGGTCTTCCATGTAACATTCTTTCCTCAAAGGCTTCATTAAAAAGATGTGTTGAACGTAGAAAATGAAAAACCATTTTTTTTAATATCTTCAAAACCTTCAACTTTAATGAACTAAAATTCGGTATGTGGATCTACTCTAGTATTAAATTATATAAAATTAATGTGTACCAGTGGCGGAGATACAGTGGATTAGTGGTATTATTTAATGAAGTCCTAAAGGTAAAAATGTTAAAGACCCCTCTTAAAATGTGGTTCTATGTTTGATGTTTCATTTTTGGTCTCGACTTGTGAATCACCCTGCATACATGATGATGCACACAGAGGCAGATTCAGGAATCTGTCTAGGGGGAAGGGGTAGAGTGGTTGTTGTAGGATCGAGGGACTGTGTCTCCAAATCTGTCTATGGATAAACATGTGCTGATTGAGAAGTTATAGACAAGGTCACATATTTATTTAGACTTCAAATGGGTTTTACATGCCTTAGTTATCTCTAGTGGTAAACTGTTGGTTAACACCTCGTTGTGATTATAAGTAGCTAAAAGTTTTCTTTAAGAGTGACAAACACCAACCAAGAGAATTCAAAACCAAATTAATAGATTGTTGACAATGTATAAAATTGGAAACTTCTTTATATGCATAATGAGATTGTATTTTCAATACTGAAGCTAGATTATTCTACTACATTCATGTATGGAACAACTAAATTCACCAATTTCCTATATTTTTAGCAACTTACTAATTTAGTTTCGAATACTCTCGGTTAGAGATCACTGCCCTTAGGATATAAATTGGTTTTGTAGTATCATGAACTTATGTGTATGATGACCTTTATCAAATAGATTTCTGCATTCTGAAATTCCAAATAATACTGTGTATCCAGAGTATTTCTTACCAAACCAGTCCTTCCATTCAGCCTGATTCTGTAAATCAGGTGTTAACTTCACAAAAAACTCCATCACCTTGTCAGTTTTACTATTGGCCACAGCATTGATTAAGTACATTTTAAGTACAGCATTTTCCAATTTCTTCACCCCTAAAAAATGTAAACATGAAACATAGAAAAAGTGAGCAGATTTATATATCTATAGTTCAACTGGCTTTCAATACTAAACACCCACAAAGGCAGATCCTAAATACTGAGATACTAGTCACTAAAGTGGTGGTCCAAATACTACTATAAAGCATGTGGTTGTTGTTACAAGATACTTGCCAGGTGAAAAGTGACTTTCTAGCTTGGAAAACATATGATTATCCAAATGGCTCCAGAGTTCCCTTAGGGAATTCAAGTCATAGTTGCTGATAAATTGTAGCAGTTGCTCAATGATCTTGTCCACTCTGAAACTTTTCTCCTTGTCATTTTTCAGTTCTGCATCGAATGCTTTCAGCGAAGTACCGAATCCACGAAAAAGCAAATATTCACGAATTAACTCGTCCGTAAATTGTATGTGAGCCATTGGTACTCTTTTTCTTCAAAAACTTGAATTTGTTTTGTGGGTTTGCAGCACAAAACATATACACTGCAGTCCAGAGATAAACCCTTCTATTGCAGTCTGTACTGCAGCTTTCATGAAATCGTCAAAACGTCAAATGATCAGCTGATTTGCACAGGTAAAGAAAACTGCAATTTATAACAGAGCTGATTCGATAATAGGCCCTTAGATAGCGTCTTTCATCTTCAATATGCCATCTCTTGACAGATTTAATAAGTATGTAGTCGGCCTCTATTAAACAGAAAGGAAACTATGCCGAGCATTGTTGGTGTGTGGTATTGTTAGACTTTTAGTTCATAGAGGGCAGCTGCAACACAATAGTACAGGCATTGTAGACAATGAGTCAATAAGAATAATAAAATGCATTGATTTAAAAATACATTTTCAAGAATATGTTAATAATCGTAAGAGCATCCTTAATTTAATTCAATAGAACTGAATATATACCTAATAGTTACCTCTAAGTAGCCGCACATATTTTTGGCACAAAAGTAATAACTTGGATTTTTCTTAAAATCATAGGGCCCTCCCTATTCGATAAATATCCCATAGTACAAGTTAAAAGTGAATTCACCTGTAATAATTACAAGATACTTTTTATGGAATAGGGCCAGGTAGGTATTATATGAGATATGAGGGTCCCTAGTGTCAAATTGGGTTTTTAAATCCATTTTTCTAAATTTGTTACTGGTGCGTACTATTATGGAAGTGTATTGCTCAAATATACCCCACTACACACACTGAATGTACATAATGGTACCGAGTCAATCTAATTGACTCCATACCCTTGTTTATGTATATATATATATATATATATATATATATATAAGTGAAAAATTAAAGCTTACGCCTTTTGTTGGGTACTTCGACAAAATTTAAGCAAGGAGGACTCTTTATACTTTTTTAATCTCTCTAGCTTTCAATGATCTTTGCCATCATCATCAGGAGCTGCAATTATATTGAGAAAAGTACAGCTCCTGATGATGATGGCAAAGATCATTGAAAGCTACAGAGATTAAAAAAGTATACAGAGTCCTCCTTGCTTAAGTTTTGTCGAAGTACCCAACAAAAGGCGTAAGCTTTAACTTTTCACCTAATTGGTCTAGACGACAATGACCACGTCTCAAGTTATATATATTTAAGTATATGTAGAGAAAATGATCTTGCGGAGAAGGGTATATAACAAACAGTAGGAAAGTAATGGGCAAAATTCGCCAAAAGGATGAAAGTGGATTCGAGCAGAAAATAGGATAGGTAACCCGAGCGATACGTATTTCTGCTGGTTGGCTTCATCAGGCCCGAAATGAATGTACATATGTAACTACAAAAGTAGATACACAAGTCCAAACATCCGGATACGGGTGTAACCTGAGGAAACGAAGATGGAGAGGGAAAAAGATCGACATACGAAGTCCACAACAAGAGCCAACCTACATATTGTACTACAATCTTTTTCCCTCTCCATCTTCGTTTCCTCAGGTTACACCCGTATTCGGATGTGTTGACAAGTGTATCTACCTTTGTAGTTGCATATGTACATTCATTTCGGCCCTGATTAAGTCAACCAGCAGAAATACGTATCGCTCGGGTTACCTATCCTATTTTCTGCTGGAATCCACTTTCATCTTTTTTGCGGATTTTGCCCATTATTTTCCTACTGTTTGATATATATGTGTATATATACATAATCATTATCGTTTTCGCTCATATCAGTCTAGACCAGCCGATGGGTCTGGAACTTTTTAATGCCGCAATATGAAATAACATCATTACCCTGATAAGCCTCGGTACACAGGCATATATAGAGGTCAGTCTTTCAAGATAATGTTCGCTTGTATTCAGATAGCGCTGTAATTTCTTGGTTTTCGGTTTCAAAAAAATCAAAAAATGGATATAGGACCACCGGAATGTCTAAAAACCGCCTTATCGGTAACGCCGAAGTTGCTGATGGGCCCAGGACCTTCTACCAGTTCCCCAAGGATTTTACAAGCTGTACGGCAAAGTGTTTTGGAACATACAGATCCGGATTTGTTTAAGGTAATAATAGGGACTTATTGAAATACTGCCATCCACTATTGATACGGACCCTACACTAATAATCACTAATGACAAGTAGATACTGATCTTAAAATTGTTATTGTGTGATTATTGATGGTGTATCAGTGTTGGGCGCATTTCCGTGCACTGATAACAAAATTTCTAACCAAGAAATATCTTATTAAATTATAAAGTTTTGCTACTGTTTCTGTACTTTTTCGTGTTTTACAACTCAATTGAGGTAAATATCAGTCTTTTTGGTTCGAATTTTACGGCAAATGGTACATGATTTTCACCAATTAAACTTACAATCAGCGAACAGCACAAAATAATAGTGAGAGAACAGCACGGAAACTACTTTCATAATATATTCTTTTCAATGCGAAAACTACTATAAAAAGTACGTTTATTTCCACGAATAGGAAGAGAAAACTTCGATTTTAAGCGTCCGCTAATAGTGAAAGGCACTTTACTTTAGTAATTTCAAATCTTATTTTTGTTTTACTGCGTCTGCTCAGATATCAAATACGACCTGGAATTATTAGAACCTGGCCTTATTGGACGTTCAAAAAGTCCCTAATAAGGTGTATCATCTTTATATTAAGATTATTATTTCTGTTTGTGCTGTTATACATGGACAATAGTCAATAGTTATTATATTCTATTTTTGTAAAAAATATACAAAGTTAACTATTGGGTTTTTCAAATTAAATTTGCATTTATTGTCCTAAAAAACATGTATTTTTCCTATGTTCTGTGTGCAATAATAATATACCATTTTTCCAATTTGTTTTTATGTTTAAATGAAACCTGTGTAGGTACTTGTGTACTGTGTGTCCGCGCGTAATACCAAAATATACTAAGTGACATATAAATCCGAACACCCAGTTTAAATGGTTTTATTTTAATAAAAGTTGGTGAATGTATTTATCTTACTGTAAATAACAAGTGAAAAAATTTTCAGCCCTACTAGTTGGACATTCCGGTTTTTAAACTGCTTTTTTTTAATTAACTAACGCTCTAAAAATGAATATTTCAGCCGCAGTAAAGAATCAACGTTGGCGGATTTTGGTTCTTGACATCCTTTACGATCGGTTACGATGCCTAGAGTACGGAGACCTGTACGATTTCGTCAACTTAGTGAGTTTGATAGGGGCCGTATAGTGGGACTTCGGGAAGCTGGACTTTCTTTTCGGGCAATTGCAGTTAGAGTGCAAAGAAGTGTAGACACTGTGATTAGGTGTTGTCAGGCATGGCTTGAAGATCGCCGCCTAAGATTATTGGCCTAAAGGACGGTTTCTCCACCACCAGGTCCATTACAAATGAATGGTTTGCAGAACACGGAAGACCTATTGGCATGCGAAGTGTTTACTGATGAATGAAAAGTTTTGGCTTGTTTTCATACCGGCCACACTGGGTCCCCCCTTTAACTCGAGAACACCGACGTAATCGCCTTGAGTGGTGCAGACAACGGTCACTCTGGGATCAGGAATGGAACAGTATTGTCTTTAGTGACGAGTCTCGATTTTGTTTAGGCATGCACGATGGTCGTGCCAGGGTTAGAAGGCGACGTGGTGAAAGGAGGAATCCACAGTTTTTTGTTGAAAGACATGTTCATCATACTGTTGGAGTTATGGTTTGGGGTGCTATAGCTTATGGTTCCAGGTCACCTTTAATCTTCATCAGAGGTAACATGAACTTTCCAACAAGATAATGCCCGACCACATGTTGCAAGAGTCACAATAGACTTCTTTCAACATAATGATGTCACATTGTTACTATAGCCACCAAGATCTCCCGACTTATCCCCAATTGAGCACGTGTGGGATATGATGGGTAGGAGATTGCTCAATTTGCAACGTCCTCCTCAGACTCTAGAAGCACTTTGAGAGGAGTTGGTGGTTGCCTGGAATGAGATACCACAGGAGGACATTGACCACCTGATCAGAAGCATGCCTAGGCGCGTTGGAGAATGCGTATCACATCAGGGTGCATCCACACATTATTAAAGGTCAAAGGGCTTTAAAGCAGTGCAATCATTTTGAAATTTATATCATTTACTTATTATGCTTCATTAAGTACTTATACAAAATTTTATTAAAATAACACCATTTAAACTGGGTGTTCGGATTTATATGTCACTTAGTATATATACGTCTTTCATAAATATACTAGTTTATTCACTGAAACAAATCAGTTACGTCATATTTAGTAAATTTGAATGCCAACCTTGCAAAACAGATCCCAAATTGGTACGTATAGTTTGAATTTCTCGGGTACATTTATGTTGGTAACAGTTTTTTGTGTTGTGACATTATCGCAAAACTTAACAGGTTATTACGCCAACGGCTGTTGATTATTTGTGGTATCTATCGTGCGTTTTGCCTTAATATTTGCATTGTTATTTTATAAAAACAGTTATTTTCTAAACTTTGAGGTGCATTTCGTTAAAATGCGGAAACCTCTGGGTCGACAAGTAAAAGAATTCGTCATCTCTTTGACGACATACTTTAGGATTGAACGAGATCACGGAGCTCCATTATTGCCTTTACAGTCCGCAGGAGAGGTATTAGGTAGTAAATAGAATTTATACTAGCTCTAGCGTTTACAAAACATACGCTCCGTAATATGTTGGTTGCGGTAAGTCATCAAAGATTTTAGTAAAGCGTTGTAGGATCTAATAGTTTTAATTAATGTGGCAACCATGTGCGTCACTGTCATTATTTGACGTTGCGACGTAACTGTTTTGATTCAACGAATAAACTATACGCTGCGTGTCCCTGATTTTTTGACATCAGTGCCTCTGACAATAAAAATTAAAAACTTGACTGGCGGACGGATGGCAGATGACAACCCTACCCCTGTACTCTTAGGGTACAGCCTAAAAGTAATTAAAATATCAAATATAATTTATAAATGAACAATTTATTGTTAAATAACAAAATTAATTCTTCTTTTTTATCTTCCTGCGAATCGATTAATATTAATACTTACTTCGAAGCCATGGATGTTGTGACGTCGTGTGTTTGTCCATAATTAGAGATATATACGTACATACATACAGGGTGACTTTGAAGTTGAGTCATTAATTTTCAGATAATGATTGTAGAAGGAAGATAAACCAAAATATGTGTGTAAAAATAAAAAAAAAATAAAAAATGTTACCTTGTTTTATAAAAACCGCCACGGCCGATCCAACGATTATTAAATTGTCTATTTAAAAATTCACGCACATTTCTTGCATAATGGGGTGGTGCCCCATCTTGTAAAAACCACAGGTTTTGTCTAATATTTAAAGGCACATCTTCCAGTAAACCAGGCAAATTGTGTTGCAAGAAATCAAAATAATTTTCACCAGTTAAGCGATTTGGTAATTCAAAAGGCCCCACTAAAATTCCATTAACAATTCCCGCCCACAGGTTGATTGGTTCAAATCGCTGTTGAAAATTGGTTTCCCTTATTTCATGGGGATTTTCAATAGCCCAAACGTGAGAATTACGTGAATTAATAATTCCGTTTCTAGTAAAATTTGATTTAAAAAATTGTCATCATTTTGATGTTTATTTAAAAGCCAATTGCAAAAGTCAACCCTTTGTTCATGATCTTCGGTTGTAAGGCCTGCACTTTTTGTATGTGAAACGGATAGAACTGATTTTCACATAGAGTTTTCCAAGTTTTATATTGACTAATCGCCAATTGAGTTGAAATTTGTCGGGTGCTTACTGTTGGATCATCACTTACTAATTCTAAAATTTGTTCTTCTAGTTCTATTTGATCGTGCGGTCTTGGAGCACCGGCATGATCTCCTCTGTGAGGTCTTAAGTCACCTGATTCACGAGCTCTTTGCACTACATTAACAAAGGCACGAAGGGTTGGTTGCACTCGATTGGGAAACCGATCCGCATAGATCCGTGATGCCGCGGCAGCATTTTGTAAAGACCGTAAATAAGAACCATGTCCACAAGTTCAGCATTTTCGTAAACATGTACATACCGACTACCGCCTGACACTGACTATAAACAACTGAAGAAAATAATTGTAAAAACATCGTTCCAAATTCTTTCGCTTTTTTGTTTCCGATGCGATGAACGGATAAGGCGGATTATATCTGTTGTTGCCAAACACGAGCACATAATATTATTATTGAGACAGGGCGGTACTCAAACTTCCAAAGGGCTATAACTTTGTTACTTTAATTTTACCAGAAAAATGGTAAAGGAAAAAAACATTTCTTTTGATCAGATCTACTCACTGTTAAAATAAATGACTCAACTTCGAAGTCACCCTGTATACAAGATTGGATCTGGCTAATGGGACGCAATGTCCTAGTGCCAAAAAAAAAATTAATACTTACCATCTCCTTTGAATCCAGTGCAACAACTTTTTTGTGGTTTTGTCCGTCACAGTGGCAGATTTAGGTAATGGCAAAATGGACTTTGCCGTTTGCCCCCAAGGAAGGGTGGTCACAGGGCAAAAATCAGCTCTAGTGTCTATATTGTTCAGCGCTTCTGAATGTAAAATTAATAACAGGAAATCAGATTGTTGTTATATGCTTTTAATGACCATCTGTGTAATGTTTATGAAATAGCGCGTTAGCATTCAGTTTGAATAAGAAAATTTCCCTTTGATTTCCTCAGAAATTTTTTGAAAACTGACTATTTCATTTAAAAAAAATTACCAAATGACCCTCTTATTTCTCAAGGAGTGGAGGGGTTATTTTTTCATTTTGTGTCAGAGTGATATATTATTACCTGGCATAAAATGCTCAGAAAATATATAGCTTCGTGGTCTGAATCAGCTTCTTTCCGTCTAATAAACACTCTAATGCATCTATTACAGTCTTTTCACGTTTTCAATGCTTATACAATACTATGCATTCTTCATGATAATATCGTGAAAGAAATTTTTTGAATGTATTATCAATTGCATAGAAGATGAAGAGTGGGAACTTCTGGAGAAGATATAATGAATGCAAGATCTCGCATTTCCTCCATGAACTG